TCCCTGCGGTGCCCTCCCGCGCGGCTCCTCCCGGGGGAGGAAGGTGAGTCTCCCCGGATCTGCCGCTTGTGGGGTCCCTGCTGGAGGAGCAGGGGCCCGACTGGGCCGCGGATCACGGTTTATGGCGCCTGGGCTCCGCCTCTGCAGCCGGCTTCCCGGCTCCGATACCTGGGAGCTCTGCCACCCTCAGGCGCCCCCGGTCTTTCTGTGACCCCGAGGGTCCTGAGACCACACTGTCCCGGAGGGTTCCACCCCCCGCTTAGCCACCAGAGTGACGTCCCTCGGCGGAGCAGACTTTTAAAAGTTCCGATTTTGTGCCCCGCGGCTCTATCACTTGCCAGAAGCGGCCGACGGAGGCCCCTCCCCCGCCGTCTATCCTCCCGAATATCTCCGCGGATTCACTTCTCCGCACGTCCTACCTTCCAGAAAGTGGTCGCTTTTCTGATGAGAGAGTTGTTGCTCTTCTTTTCTTTGATCTCCTGTTGAGTTTGTCGGTGTTCAGAATGGTTTGATCCCTATCCAGCTGAATTCCTGAGAGGAGACGAAATCCAGGTCTCCTACTCCTCCGCCATCTTGCTCCGCCCCCGGACATTGGTTTTTGCCCTGAATAAGATGAGAGCCATTGGAGGGTGTGAGTGAGGGAAATGTTGTTCAACTTGTGTCTCACTGTTTTCTTCCTCCTCTCTCTCTTCTTTTTTTAAGACTTTATATTTGAATAATCTCTACACTCAACATGGGGTTCAGACTTATAACCCTGAGATCAAGAGTCACACGCTCTACTGACTGAGCCGGCTAGGAAACCCTCTCTTCTTTTTTTCTCTTTTCTTCTCTTCTCTCCTCTCCTCTCCTCTCCTCTCCTCCCCCCTTCCCTCCCCTCCCCTCTTCTTTCTTTTCTTTCTCTTTCTTTCTTTCTTTCTTCTTTCTTTCTTTCTTTCTTCTCATTCCTCTTCTTCTTCTTCTCTCCCTCTTCCTCCTTTGGGTAGATAAACAGAAGATTTTTTTCTTCAAATCGCAGTATCAGGTCAGCTCTGTCCCTGAGTAGATGCATGTTTTTCAGAGATTATGAAAAGTGTGAGTGGTGTGACTTTCCAGGCTGTGTCCTTTTGTTGAGAGCCAGAGAGCTAGTCTACATCCACTTTCAGGGCAAAGCTAGGGCCCCCTTTGGCAATAGAATGTTAGGTTGATGAAACTGACTTGGTCATCTGCACAGCTTCCTCACAGCAGTAGGCGGCTTCAGAACACGTACCATCATTGGTTTTTACTATCTTGGCGTGATCGTTTGGTTAGTAGTGGTTTCCTCCACTAGACCATAAGCTCCATGAAGGCAAAGGTCATGGAGCTGTTTTAAAAATCAGCATTGTGTCCCCGGAACCCACTACACTGCCCTGTACACTTACAAATATTGGTTGAATGAATAGCTAAGTTGGATCAGTGTGATAATTTCTATTTCCTTTGCTGCCATAATGCTAGAACCACACAGGAAACCTGTGTTCACAGAGCCGTAGGCAATTATATTATTGGATAAAATCTATCTGTTTAAGAATACATTGCAAGACTGTGGTTTGTGTCAACAAGATGTGGGTCACGGGGCCCAGCTTTTGTCGACTTAGCAATGGTCTGAAATGTCCCCTGTCTGCCAATTTGTTGGGAAGTCAGACAAGAAGATTTCAGAGGAATGGTAAGATTTGATAAGAAAACCCATTTGTGTGTGTGTGTGTGTGTGTGTGTAAATGAAAGAATTCAGGAGACTCAGTTTGGTGTTCTTTTATTTTAACTTAAATGATTCTTTTTAAAAAAGATTTTATTTATTTATTTATCTATCTATTTATTTATTTATTTATGAGAGAGAGGGAGAGAGAGAGCACACACTTGAGCATGCGCAAGCCGGAGTGGGGGGAGGATGCAGAGGAGGAGGGAGAGGGACAAGCAGATTCCACACTGATCCCATGACCCTGAGATCATGACCAGAGCCAAAACCAAGAGTCGGACATTCAACTGACTGAGACACTCAGGTGCCCCTAACGTTAATGATTCTTAAATTAATATGAATACGTAAAAATACCAACCTATATAAAAATGTCTACTTTTATGGATCTTACACAACTATAAAACCAAATAAATATGTCATTTAATATGAACACAATTATGAAAGTGATATAATTCACAGGAACCACATCAGTGAACCTAAGGGTGCCTCCTGTGCGAACCCTGCCCTGCCTGCCCCCCACGCATGTTTCCCTTGGCAGCCTTGCACCCCATTCCCTACGGCGATGTGCTTCTCCCAACATTCCTCTTGCTCAAAATATTGCAAAATACATATTCTTTCTGCCATAGGCAATACAATTCACCTTTTACCTTCACTGGATTAAAAATGCCTCATTTATCTACTAAATTAGTTTCTGCTTAGTTCACCAAATTTAAAGTGGTATTACTCGATGACCAATCAATCAGCCCAACTGCAATGAAGTCACCTTGCTGTCCCTAGACATAAGGCAGATGTTCCGATAGCCCAGACAGTGCTTACATTAAAAGTTTATGCATTACAACTGAAATGAAAAATAATTGACGATTTACTAATTTGCTGTCAAAAAATTGAGAGTGACCAACATCAGGCTAAATGGTGACTTACTGCCTATTCATTCAGACCCAAACAATCAATTTGGTATTTTTTCTTTCTCTGTGTGTGCATGGAGGGTATGTGTGTGTGTGTATTTGTGTGTGTGAGAGACAGAGAGAGGGAGGGAGGGAGCAAGAGAGAAGTTATTCTTGAAATATACTTGTTTATTTTAGGCTAGTCCTTAAATTTGGGTGGGTACATAATTTCTTATGGAGATCTTTGAGGACAATCAAGAGTATGCTTGCCTCTGGTTATTTTCAAGATTCTTAACATTAAGTTGGCATTCTTGAGGGATGAAAGATACTACATTGTTCTAGTAAACAAATACAAGAATTTGAGAATGCATGTCCTGGGCAAATGCCAAGACTATTGCTTTTTATTTTCCACTTAAGTAAACTATTTTAAAATGTTCTTTGGAGATAGTGCTCGCCATTGTGTTATATTTTAGACTGTTCATTAGAGAGTTTATCAAAAACTTACTGGTGTTTATTTAGATTATAATAAATGGCTTAATTATCTCTTTTTAGCCATTTGTAATTGTCATGAGGCCAACTTCAGTTAAAATGTCAAGTTACTTTTTTTCCTTTATACAAATGTTTTCTGGAGTGTTCTGTGAATTCTTCAAAAGTACAGCATATACTTTACTACTGCCAAGAATATATGTGCCTTAAATGTGAGTTTTTGAACTCTAACATCTGAGTTTGTTTAAAAACCAAATTGTGACATTAGTGTGGAATCACCATGTTGAAAATGCATGAGAGCTTCAATATTGAGATGACCATATTAACATAAAGTGTGGCAACTTCAGATTCAATTTCATGGTCTACTTTCTAGTTCTATGTGGGGAGCAATTCTAGTGCTTTACAAATAAAATACATTAGCTCTTAACTAGTGAAATGCTCTGGCAGTAAAACTTAAATGCTTTGGTGTAAAGTTTTAGGATGGGATTTTAAAAGCTATCTTAATAACCGTTAGGATCCTAATAAAAATAATGAGCAAATCTTGTGGTAAGCAGACACAACACTGAGGCTATCACAATGGCCAAAATTCCATACGAGTAAATATGTCTATTAGCTAAGTTATGCTGTGACCCCCTACATTACGCCCAACTCTGATTGCGAACTAAAAATAATCAAATGACAATAGGTGTCTCCAAAGTCATGGATTTAGACTGTGAAATAGAATTTTACATGTTAACATTTTTATTCCATGGTCTGACTGTAATACAGCTTTGCTCCTTATCAAGGTCAGAATTAAATTTTATTTATTTTATTTTTTTTTAAAGATTTTATTTATTTATTTGAGACAGAGAGAATGAGAGAGAGAGAGCACATAAGGGGGGGAGGGTCAGAGGGAGAAGCAGGCTCCCCGCCAAGCAGGGAGCCCGATGCGGGACTCTATCCAGGGACTCCAGGATCATGACCTGAGCCGAAGGCAGTCGCTTAACCAACTGAGCCACCCAGGCGCCCCAGAATTAAATTTTAATACTGAATTTTAACATTTGTATATTTCACTAGTTAAGACCTAATGTATTTTATTTGTAAAGCACTAGAATTACTAATTAGTAATTTTGGTAAAGTGTTATTATTTATGACATAAAACACTGATTTTTCCCCCTCTAGTCAAGATTATGCTGCATCAGCTATATTTGTGTGTGCGTGCGTTTGTGTGCTTGCAGTTATGCAATATTTATCGTGTCTGTCACTATTTAATTTACTGACACATTGTAGAGTATGTAAATACAAAACAAATCATGTTAGAAGTTTCAGTTTGCATTTTGGGTTTTTCAAGGTGTTTATACAGATGTGTAGACAAACACGCACACTCAGTTGAACATCAGGTGACAAGCATGTGGAGCCATGAGCCTGATCGTTGGTCCAAATTGAGGGTGGATCAGATAGGGTGTTTTGGTTGCAAGGAAAAAGAATCCCAACTCACACTGGCTTAACTAATGAGAACACTGGATGGCTCACGTAACAGAAATCTGAGGCCATAGTGGACTTTGGGGCTGGTTGAGCCAGAGGTTCATGTGCTCTTCCAGGATCCCGGTATTTTCTGTCTGTCCCCTCTGACATCCACAATATCAGTTTCAAGCAAAGGCTTGTTTTCTGAGTAGTTGTGGTTTGGTCAGCAGCTCAGTTAGGGCTTCATGCTTGTCTCTTCCCATCCAGTGGGAGGGAGGTCTGGTGTCCTGTGGTTCTCTGAAGTCAACCACAACGGATGGGGAGGCAAGGGAGAAAGGTAGGTGAGGCATGAATGCTACTCCTTAGCAGAAGGTACAGATCCGATCCAATAGCCAGGCTTCCTCTTCAAAGGGTGGGTCAAGGATTGAGCAGAGATGGTTAAAACCCGATCTCATGGGGCTGGGGTTCAGAGCCAAGAATGCCGTCATTTTGGTTAGGAGAGCCCGTGTGCCGGGGGAGGAATCTTGTTTCTGAAGGTGCTGGGGAAAGAATGAAGTGGGACATAGGAAGTTTTAAATCTCAGTTTCAGAACCCTGAGGATGCCAAGAATGGATGAGAAAACCGACTTCATGTGGAGCGGATGGGCCATCTCCTCGGAACTCTTCAGATCTCGCTGCCTTTCTCTGGAGTGCGGTTTGGAGCTGGGGCTGTGGGTACTGATGGGGCTTATGTGGCTTCAGCTGCAGAAGGTAGGGAGTGGGTGACACAGAGCAGGAAATACGTGGTGTATTCTGGCCCAAATATTCTGATTGAGTTAAGAGGCAGAGAAGAAATCCAGCCAATAGAACACATTGAATCTCATATGATATGCAGCAGGATGTTGAAATGGAGCTTTTAAAAATGTCAGTTTCAGCAGAGGCCCCCAAAGCCAAAAATAAAGACGCTATTTCTGGTTAAGGTCACATTCACGGGTATCCGGAGGTAAGGCTTCAATGTAACTTTTTGGGGTACACAATTCAACCCACAAGAGGGGTCTCCAAGAGGACCTTTGGAGACCTCAGTATGTGTCCCCTGGAGAGTCAGGGCACGTGAGTAAGGATCTAGTTCTTTATAAGAGAAGTGTAAAGGGGAGAGGACGTGGCTGTTGCTGCCAGTCGGGGAGCAGGGAGGAGGGCGCTGACTGATTTGGCGGTTCCTAAGTCAATGGCGGGGCCAACATGTGGGTTTGTAGGAACGAGAAGTGGAATGCACTCAAAGGAAGCTGGCCTGGGGTCTTCTTAAAAGGCTCCCTCCCCAGGTGGGTCCTGGAGATGTGACCTCCAAGAGAGATTGATCCACCGAAAAGGGCTGGAAAGTGTAGCCAGGACTTCTCTGCCCAGACCCACACTGGGAATATTTCTACATGTAACCGTCTATACCTTCATTAAGCTAAACATGCATCCTGACTGATGTCTCCAATTCTAATATATCACCATGTGGCTCATTCTGACGTTCTTGCTCACCTATAAATTCCTTCTCCATCAGTGCCTGCTCGACCTTCAGCTAGTCGTTACTTAATTATTTAATTGCAGTATACAGGATAGCAGCATTGCAGCTATTGAGCTGTTCACCCAAGGGAAGTAATTTTATCAACTAGAGAATGGTGCTTGTATGCAGTTCCTCTCTACCTTTTATTTCCCAGGCTCCATCCACTTCCAAAGTTACTTAGCGCAGCACCTTTCCCCAACACCCCTCAGTGAGATTGTGTCATACATTTGTCATCCAGCGAGATCCTTTGTCGTAGTCTACCTTCCTTCCTGGGATTTTTTTGACTTCCTAAATGAATTTTTTGAAATGTGCATGCATTAAGTCTCAGTCTTTGTGCTGTAATGTGTTTTGGACTTTAACAATTGCACAGTGTCATATAGCCACCATGATAGTATCATGCCGAATAGTCTCACCATCCTAAAATCCCCTGTACTCCACCTTTTCGAACCCACCTCTCCGCCCGAACCCTCGGTAACCACTAATCTTTGAATTGTCTCTACATATTTGCCTTTTCCAGAATGTCATATAATGGGAATCATATAGTATGTAGCCTTTCCAGCCTGGTTTCTTTCACTTGGCCATATGCATTTACATTTCTTTTATGTCATTTTGTGGCTCGATAGCTCATTTCTTTTCACGGCTGAATAATATTCTATCATACGGATATGCCGAAGTTTGTTTATCCATTCGTGTTTTGAAACACATCTTGGTTGCATAGAACTTCTATAAACATTCATTTACAGGCTTTTGTCTGGACACACATTTTCAAATCAGTTAGGTGAGTAGCTAGGAGTGTGATTGCTGGATCCTGTCGTGAGACTATGTTTAGCTTTGTCAGAAACTGTCAAATTGTCTTCCAAAGTCACTGCTCCATTTTGCCTGCCCACCAACAATGAATGGGAATTGCTGTTGCTCCACATCCTCACCAGCACTTGGCGTTGTCTGTGTATTGGATTTTGACCAATTTTTCTTTTTTTTTTTTTTAGAGAGGGAGTGAGAGAGTGTGGAGGAGGGGCAGAGAAAGAGGGGAAGAGAGAATCTTAAGCAGGCTCCATGCCCATCACGGAGCCTGACACGGGGCTCAATCTCACGACCCTGAGATCATGACCTGAACACAAATCAAGAGTCAGACGTTGAACCGAGTAAGCCACCCAGGTGCCCCAGATTTTGACCATTTTATTAAATGTGTAGTGATATCTCATTATGATATTGTTTTAATTTTCAATTCCCTAATTACCAGCGATATTGAGCATCTTTTCCTATGCTATCACCGCATCAGGAATGAAAAACATCAGTGTAGACAGAACGAATTACCTCTGGACTGAATAGGTCATTTTTTCTTTAACTAGAATATGCTCATCTGGAATGTTCCATCTGTACGTCTACTTTAGTGAAGTGTCTGTTCAGATCTTTTGCACGTTTTCCAATTGGATTGTTTGCTTTGTTGAGTTTAAAATTTCTTTATACATTTTGGGTTCAAGTTCTTTATCAGATAATGTGTTTTGCAAATATTTTCTCCCAGCCTGTGGCTGGTCTTCTCATTCTTTGAACAGTGTCTTTCCTAGAGCAAATGTTTTTAAATTTCAACAAAATCTAACTTAACTTATTTTTATTTCATGGATTGTGCTTTTGGTATTGTATCGGAAGAATCTTTGCCAAATCAAAGGTCACATACATTTTATTCTGTATTTTCTCCTATAAGTTTTGTAGTTTTGCATCTTACATTTAGGTCTAGGACCTATTTTGAGTTAATTTTTGTGAAAAACTAAATAAATAAATATATTTTAAGAATTTAATTGTAAATAATCACTTGTTACATTTATCCATATTTGTACTACATGTGACTAATCAGGGTTAATCTGTGACCTTTTTCTCCATTACTCAGGTCACTCAAGAGTTTACAGCATGCATGTGCTTTGTTACTATCAGCGTGCACTCTAAAGCGGTTGCATTTTCCTTCTTATCTACTGCAAACTGTGTTCTTTCTCATTACCTCAGCTGGGGTGGACGTTCTTTCAGCACAATTGCACTTCTTAAATTAAAATCAATTCCCTTAGTCAATATCTCATTAGTTGGGATCCTTTAGTGATAACTCTAGAGTTAGAGAACTGTTGGGAAGGATTTATATGCTTTGAAATAGACATGTTCAGGTCATGAACATGGAACGAATGCATTCAGGTCAGAAGTAAGTTCTTCTGTCTGCACTGATATTTTTCTCTCCTGATAACAGGGTTCTCTGCCCAGCTCCCTTCTTAACCTGGGAATCTGCATCCACCTGGCTCTTGGCTGTAGGCTGACCCTGTCACAGGCTTTTGGACAGTCCTGTGTCTAATGAGGAAGATACAGAAGGTCAGAAGCCCATGAGTTATCTAGTTATTCTTGCTGCTGGTTGTCTTGCAGTCTTGAGGTTGGATTGTCCATCTGAATTCTGACAATTTCCTGCATGGTCACTGCTTAGATACTAGATGTTTTAGATTCAACTTAGACCTTTGGCTAGAGTAGTCATGTCTTCCCTTCTTAATTCTTGGTGGCTTCATCTTTTAGTTTCAAACCTGCATATGCCTTTGTGACTTCCAGAAGTAATTAAAATTAGACAGTGCTTATGCCTAGAACCTCAGCCTTCATCTTGTGTGGATTCTGATTCTAGTTCTCTCCTGTTCAGCCCATCCAGCTCCATCTGAACCTGATGGGCCATCTCTTTCCCTCCCTTCCTCTCTTTCTCTCCCCCCACCTCTCTCCAACCTCTGGTAGACCCTCCTCAACTCCCACCGTCCCCTGTGTGGGCACAGTCCAAGGTGTCACTTCTTCCCAGGGGCCACACGTGTCTTTTCTATATTCATGCAAGAGCCCACACTGACTTGGCTCACACTGACTTGACACCATCTCTCTCAACCCCTTCTCTGCCTTCCTCGCTCAGCTGGGGCTCCATGTTCTCTGCCTGCCCTCCACACTCAACTCTAGCACAGTTTCCCAAGCCTGTCGGTCATGCTCCATCTGTCCTCCTGGTCTTTGCCCAGAGGTCTCTCCAACTCTCCAAACCAGGTAGTGTTTGCTCCTCAAGGACTGGGCGAGCATCAGCTCTTTCTGGAAGTCACTGTGCATCCCTTGCCCTCTCCGTCCTGTGCTTCACGGCTGCTTCTTGTTCATCCACCTCCTTATGTTACTTGATTAACTGAACCAATATATAAATAAATGAATACATTTGCTACTTTATCAATTTGCCAACTTAGAGGCCTAGGAGTTTTTGCTTTACTGAGTATTCAAGGATTATGAAATTCCCTTGTGGGCTAAATCTCTCCGGCACACCAGGAAGCAGCGCATGGAAAGAAAAGGAGACTGGGTGAAGAATGGAGGTTAGTGAAGGCACAGGGAACGTGGGCACAGGACAAGGGATGAGGGTCTGTGCCCTGTCCGGGGCTGCCTGGAGGAGGGAGGTGCCTGGGACTGGTGTGAGGAACCGGTCATTTTAGTGCTGGTCACGAGTTGGTTCTATCTTCCCTGGACAGGCGGATTTCTCTGGTGACAGAGGGTAGACCCTACTGCAGTCACAGCTAATGCATGCATTCTCAGTGGTGGGGGATGGGAGGGGGAGGATATCACAAATACTGTTCTTGGGAGGCAAAAAACCCCATCTTAGATATTGCAGTGGTCTGTGGCCTTCCAAACAGCCTCAATCCACAGTATATCAGTGTATCTGTGGCATTAAAATTTTATGCAAGGGGGTGATTAGGACACAAATGCCTAATATGGCTTCTGGGGAGGAGGATAAGAAGGTTGGGAAAAATGGGGCTGACAGACAGTTTTCAAGCCAAGGAAGAGACTCTGGCCAGCGTCCTGGAGAATGGTGACGTTTCTGCACAGCCCAAAGCTGCCCAGCCGAGGGGTGAGTGGGGCTGAGTTCAGCCACTCTGTGGGGTGGCCCTGAGTCTTGTCCACCCACAGGGGGGCTCTCATATTTGCACCAGGCAAGCTGTATACTCCTGGAGGCCCTCGATCTGGCAGTCCTGCCTGCTCACGCTTGAGCCTGAGCTGGCAGTGTCCGGAGGTTCAGACTAAAATAAGAACTGCAGGTGCTTCTGGGTGGCTCAGTCGTTGAGCGTCTGCCTTCGGCTCAGGTCATGATCCCAGGGTCCTGGGATCGAGCCCCGCATCGGGCTCCCTGCTCCGCGGGAAGCCTGCTTCTCCCTCTCCCACTCCCCCTGCTTGCGTTCCCTCTTTCGCTGTGTCTCTCTCTGTCAAATAAATAAATAAAATCTTAAAAAAAAAAAAAGAATTGAATTACTGGCAGGTCAGCTGAGTGGGGATTTGACTGACAGAGAGCTCGGCGCCATTGCTAGGGTGAAGCAGGAATGCGGGTCATTTTAAGGACAGGTGAGTCCTTCTACAGCCGGAGACATGTTGGTTCTGCTCCCCAGGTGGAAAGTGCCCCGGAGCAAGGTGGGGGTGTGGGAGTGGAGCAACAGCCCTGGAAACGCCAGCCACCCCTGGGCTTCTGTGATGTGGGGCTGCTCTATCAGCTGAAAGTCAAGGCCAGCGCATGAACCCTTCTATTACTGGGAACCGGTGATACTATCCTAAATCAAAACCCTTTGGTTTGCCTTTTAGAATCCTCTCACCCTGCAAGTCCCAAAGGAAACCCAAACAGAGAAAAAGAACTGCAGAAAAATGGGAAAATTGCCAGCTTATTTTTCCTCCTCCTTTCCTTTGACTCGGTTGGGCTGTGGTAATGGATACATAGGTAACGAGTCTGTTTGTATATACACTTTTATTGATAGACTATCAATCAGTAAGTGTCAAACAGACCCTGAAAGACAAGGCAGTGCTGGGTTCACACGGATAGTTGTCATTCTGTGTCATGAATTACAGGATGATGCAAGCGTCGCCGCCCCCCCCTTGAAATAGGGGGCTGTCTCGGGCTGGTTGGCTCCAGGGGCCAGGGCAGGGCACGGGTGAGGTCAGGGCTGTGGGCTCTGCTCCATCCCACACCCACATCAAGCCACGCCAAGGGCTATCTGGTGACACGTGTGGGTAGGCTGGCACCAGCCCACCTCGCTGACTCGGGAACATCTCCAACCCTCGGCTGCAATGCGGGTGGGTCAGGGAGGTAATTTTCACATGAGACCGGCATGCTCCATACCACAGACTCATAGAGCTTCTTTGCTGTTTTCTACAAATGGAAAAGTTAGATTGTTTATTTTTCTGTGGGAAGGCTGTTTAGTTCTGCGGGTGAGGATGAAGACTGTCTCCCCGAGACTCACCAGATCAGACATGCTGCCAAGTCTGTTGTTAACATCTTTTTTTTTCTTTTAAGACTTATTTATTTATTTGAGAGAGAGAGAATGCGAGTGGGGTGGGGAAGGGCAGTGGGGGAGAATCTTCAAGCAGACCTCCTGCTGAGCGTGGATTTCCCCATGCGGGGCTCGATTCCCCGCCCCATGAGATCATGACCTGAGTTGGACGCTCAACCGACTGAGCCCGTTGTGAACATCTTGTGCTCAGTCTGACCATCGTCTGATGGGGCCGAGCCAGCATGGTGGCCAGTGAGGAACTCGGAGTGAGCAGGCCCAGGCAGGCAGAGGGGCAGAGCGTGGCAGGAAGGGAGGAACACGTGGTGTCCAGCTTCCAAAGAGGTGATGCGGCGGAGCAAGCTGCAGCCGTTGGAACAATGACAAAGTGGGTTTGTGCTATCCTCCTCTCCTGCGCGACCCCATGCGGGCCCCCTCTCCTTCCTTAGCACGGTGGCACGAGAGGTTGCCTGTAATTTGGAGCTTGGGCAGACAGTCTAGATCTTTCAGGGAACACAGATGGGGCAAACTTCCCGGACTGCCATCACTGCCCCCTCCCCAATAAAACTACTGGCTGTAAGATAAAAACATTTTCAATTTTATTAGATAGTATGTGCCAACTTGCTCTCCAAAGCTGTCCTTGCCTACTCTTGATACTTTTACATCTGAATTTTTTGCTAGTCTTTTATGGGTGAAAAGTGCTATCTCTGCCTTGATTTGGAGGGTTTTTTTTTTTAAGATTTTATTTACTTATTTGAGAGAGTGAGAGAGAGCACAAATAGGGGGAGCGGCAGGCAGAGGGAGAAGCAGACTCCCTGCTGAGCAGGGAGCCCGATGTGAGGCTCGATCGCAGGACCTTGGCATCATGACCTGAGCCGAAGGCAGACATTAACCCGCTGAGCCACCCAGGCACCCCGATTTAGACTTTTCTAATTACCAGTGGAGTTGAGCTTTTTCTCCCATTGAACTTTTTTCCAATTAGTGTACTGGCTGTTTGCATTCCTTCCTCTGAGAACTATATAGTCATCACCTTTGCATGTTATTATTGGGTGTTTGCTGTTTTCTTATTGATTTGTAAGTTGTAAAAAAGTATATATTTGGATACGAATTCTTAGTTTGTTCTATGTAGGGCAAAGACTTTCTCCAGTCCGTGACTTCTCTCTTAATTCTGTTTATGTCATCTTTTGAAAAATTGGAAGTTTTGCATTTGACAGAGTCAAACATTCTCCCTTATCACTCATGCTTTTGGTGTCACGGTTAAGAGAAACTTACTACACTGAAGTCACAAATATAGTCTTATACTTTTTACTAATAATTTTAAGATATTTTTCTTCTTTCCCATTTGGATCTTTGATCAATCTGATGCTGATTTGGGGGGTATGAGTCTAATTTAACTTTTCTTTTTTTTATTGAAGTATAATTAACATAGAGTGTTAATGTCAGGTGTACGGTCCAGTGATCCAACCATTCTTTGCATGACTCAGTGCTCATCACAATAAGTGTACTGCTTTAACTTTTCAATACGAAAAGTCAACTGCCCTAATACTATTTATAGGATGGCTCATCAGTTCTCCACCGGTTGGTACTGCCATCCTATCATATCCCAAGTTACCACATATATACAGGTCAATTTCTGGGCTCTCTTTGTGATTCAATGAATTTTTTTTTTATCAATTCTTTTGATAAACTTTTAAAAACCATTTTATTGAGGTATAATTAATATACAATATGCTGAATGTATTTAGTTTTTAATTTCATGGGCTCTCTGTATTTATATATTCTAGTTTTTGTTCATTGATTTAATATTTATTTATTTTTATTTTAGTATAGTGAACACAAAATGTGACATTAGTTCCAGGTGTATGACACAGTGATTCAACATGTTTATACATTACGTCATGCTCACCACAAGTGTCGATAGCTACCATCTGTCCCCATGCATTGGTGTTACAATATCATTAACTATATCCCCCATGTTGTGTCTTCTATTCCTGTGACTTTTTCATTCCATAACTGGGAGCCTGTATCTTCCACTCCAATTCACCCATTTTGCCCCTCCCCTCACTCACCTCTCCTCTGGCGACCACTGGTTTGTTCTCCGTATTTATAGGTTTTAGCTTCTTGACCTGAATATTTATCTCATTAATTTGTGCATTTTTTTAAAAATATGCTTCCTGTTTTAGCTACATCCAATAAATGTTGATGGGTAGTTCTTTCGTTGTTCATTCTAAGTACTTGGGAACTTTCATGTGAGTTTTTCCTTTACCAAGAATTTTTAAAGATATCTGCTCTCTAATTCCAAGGATATTTTTATTTTTTAATTAAAAAATGTATTGCTTCCAATTGTATTGCATTATGATCACAGAACCTGGTTTTCATGGTACAAATATTTTGGAGTGTGTCGAGAATTGCTTTGTTTTCATAAAATATTATATATTATCTGTTTACTGGGATGTATATCAAGCTGTTTGATTGCATTGCTTGAATCATTTGTGCTCTTATTATGCTTGATGTAACAGTTTCTGATGGCAATATGTTTAAAAAAAAACCTCATTATGATTGTGGATTTGTCAATTTCTCTTTCTAATTCTGGTAATTTTTGGCATATATATTTGGAGGGAATTTTTTATTGTTATGTTAATCACCATACATTACATCATTAGTTTTTGATGTAGTGTTCCATGATTCATTGTTTGTGCATAACACCCAGTGCTCCATGCAGAACGTGTCCTCTTTAATACCCATCACCAGGCTAACCCATCCTCCCACCCCCTCCCCTCTAGAACCCTCAGTTTGTTTTTCAGATCCATCGTCTCTCATGGTTCGTCTCCCCTGAAGGGAATTTTGTTAGGTGAAGCAAATTAATGATTTTTATATCTTATTCGTTATTTTTCCCTTTAATTATTAAGTAATGTCTGTATCTTCATTAATATATTTTTCTTTAATTTTATTTGACTAAATACTACTAAACTGGCTTTATTTTCAACTTTTTATTTTATTTATTTATTTATTTATTTTTTAATATTAAGAAGGATTTCTTTTTTTTTTTTAAAGATTTTTATTTTTATTTTTATTTATTTGAGAGAGAGAGAATGAGAGAGAGAGAACACCTGAGAGGGGATAGGGTCAGAGGACGAAGCAGACTCCCTGCCGAGCAGGAAGCCCGATGCGGGACTCGATCCAGGGACTCCAGGATCATGACCTGAGCCGAAGGCAGTCGCTTAACCACCTGAGCCACCCAGGCGCCCCGAATTTCAACTTTTTAAAAAGATTTTATTTATTTGTCAGAGAAAGAGAGTGAGTGAGAGAGCACAAGCAGGGGGAGCAGCAGGCAGAGGGAGAAGCAGGCTCCCCGCTGAGTGAGGAGCCCAACGCAGGACTCAATCCCAGAACCCTAGGATCATGACAAGAACCGAAGGCAGATGCTCAACTGACTGAGTCACCAAGGTGTCCTTATTTTCAACTTTTTAATGTCACTTTCTTTCTTTCTTTTTTTAAAAAGTAGGCTCCACACCTAGCATGGAGCCCAATGCAGGGCTTGAACTCACCACCATGAGTTCAAGACCTGAGCTGAGATCGAGTCAGATGCTCAACTGACTGAGCCACCTAGGCACCCCTTAACATTAAATTTTTTTAAAAGATTTTATTTATTTACTTGATAGAGAGAAAGACAGTGAGAGAGGGAACACAAGCAGGGGGAGTGGGAGAGGGAGAAGCAGGCTTCCTGAGGAGCAGGGAGTCTGACTCGGGGCTCGATCCCAGGACCCTGGGATCATGACCTGAGCTGAAGGCAGACGCTTAATGACTGAGCCATCCAGGCACCCCTAATGTCAAAATTTTAAGTGAAAGACTAGATAGTCAAAAAATAAAGAAATAAATCTGGGAGATTGTCTTTTAATTGGTGAATCAAAGGCATTTATATTTATGGTAGTTACTATATATTTAGACTTCTGTCTATCATTTCATTTTGTAACTACTATGTTTTTCTTTGGTTCTTATTTTTTCTTTACCGTATTTTGTTGAAGTAAAAGATATATATATATATATATATTTTTTTTTCCTTTCTTTCTTCTCTCTCTCTCTTTTAACAGTTTCTATCTTGTTCCTATACTGGTTTGGAAATTATGCATTCTAATTATATATGTATACATACTTCTAATTTTAATATTTCTAACAATATATAAAGTTAATAAATATCTCTTTCCTACTCTTGAAAAGACAGTGACTTTAGAACACTTGACTTCTCTTTAAATTCACTTGCCATCTGGGGCTCTTGGCTGGCTCAGTTGGTAGAGCCTGTGACTCTTGATCTCAGGGTCATGAGTTTGAGCCCCAAGTTGGGCATGGAAAGTCCCACCTTTGTCATCTCAAAATGAGTTGTTATCTTTATTTTTGAGATGGAGGGTTCTTTTTAGATTCTTCAAGTCTTTCGTTGTTGTTTGTGTGAGGTCATCATTGCTTCAAGCGCTCTTCTCCTTTCTGGGCTAAATGTTTTTCTTGCTGAAGTAAGAGCTGTGGTTACTCTCGGTGGGCCAGGCTCTGCTCTAAGTGTGGTCATGGTCATGGTCACGGTCAGCACTGGCTCTCCATCCCCACAGTAGCTCCAGGTGCTAGGTGCTTGCCGAAGGGCATCTGCCTGTACCTCTATTTCCCCATTTACAACCTGAGCTCTGTCTCTTTGTGCAGGTTCCTTCCTTGTTTTTCTTCTAATGTCCAGGTTCCTGTGGGTTCAAAGCAGGAAGCATGAGGGAGAGGGATCTCCAGCAGAAACCCAAGCATTATTCTCAGAGAGAACTTTGGGTAAGCAACCAGACATCAGTGGCTTTGTTGTATGCAGGGAAAGTTCTGTGGAAGAGCTACAGTCTTGGGAGTTAGTTCTTCCTTTTTTTATTTAGCTATGTGAGCTCAGTTATAATGGAAATAAGTGAGAGTATTGTGGGATTTAAGACTGGAATCAGTGGTTCCCACATCAATTCATACAGTTTTTCTGGGTGGTTTTTAGGAATAAGCACAATATTTAATCAGAGGATATTAGTTCTGGTCCTCATCACCCACAAATGAAATGTGGTTATTCAGTTTACTGGTAAGTACTGTCAGAAAACAAAATTCAACTGAGTAAAATTTAGAGATCTTATCAGCTTTAGTCAGCAATTCATGGATAAGGCAGCATCTAATCTAGCAGATGGGAGCTCTGAAGAGCTGTACAAGGCAAGAGATTCTATAGACAGAAGGGAGTAGGAACAAGGAGGTGGTACTAGGCAAAAAGCAGATTGGTTATTGTGAGGTTACTTTCCTTTAGGGGATGGAAGGGTGATCAGGCAGATTACCTAACTAATGCCAATCCAGCGATTCCTGATGACTAGTTTAAGAGTCCATTTCTACGAGAGCTGAAACTGTCATTAACGCCCATGTTGGTGATGTGGGAGTTAGCATGTGGAGTTAGTGACTCCAATTTGGGCCCTGTTGTCTTTAACAGTACTTCTGAATACTATTATTAAATACAGGAGATGTAGATCCTGGAATACACTCATATCCCAGTGCCACCTTGAGGAAAGAATTTGAATTGAGAGGCAAGCTACGTGTATTTATGTCCATCTTAGTCACCTACATATCATTTTTGCCTTTCACATGTATTTCTTCTTCTGTAAAGTAAGGGCACCCACAGCATAGTTATGTGAAGATTTCTCACGACCAGAGTCACTAACTCGTAAGAATTTTAAGGAAGGCTTGCTACCATTTTTAATGAAGACTGTACTGTAGGCAAAATGCAAACTTACTGATTAAGAGTGAACACAGTTTTTGCTTTACAGCACAGAAAGCCATTGAAAAATAAAAACAACTGGTCATCTCAGTTGCTGAGCTGCCTTTAACACCAGAATATTTCCCACTCTGTACGTGAGTCTGGCTCACAGCTATCTACCATGTCCTCCTAACCTTGGACTTCCCTTTCCCGGTAAGCATATTGCTTGCCTTCTAAAGTGAGATGTGAATTTTCTCGCCATTTAGAGATAGTGACAATAAAAGTCACCACCAGGTATTGAGCTCTGTCTTTCAATCAGCAAAATATACTACGATGGCACTGAAAATTTGCATCCTCCTCCAAGCGCTTGCCCCCCTCCAAATTCATATGTTGAAGCCCTAACCTCCAACATAGTCGTATCTGGAGGTGAGGACTTTGGGGGGTGATTAGGTTTAGATGAGGTCATGAGAGTGCAGCCCCCAGGGATGGGATTAGGGCCCTTATATGGAGAGGATGAGACCATGAGACCAGAGCTTGCTCTAGTTCCTCGCCCCATGTGGGCACACAGTGGGAAGGTGGCTGCGAACCAGGAAGAGGACTCTCACCAGGAGCTGAGTCTGTGGGCCCCTTGATCTTGGGCTTCCAGAGTCCAGAACTGTGAGAAATAAAGTTCTATGTCTACACAGTCCATGGTATTTTGTTGTAGCAGCCCCAGCTGACTAAGACATACACACAAGGTGATAACTATTTCAGCACTGCAGCTCAGATTGGCATAGTGAAGGCCTGTCTCCTAGTCCATTATTTTTAACATCAGGCTTCATTAAATCTGTCAAAAAATGTAAAGAACTTACTTGGGTGATCTGAGAGCCAGGAAGTAGGAATACGAAGATGAACATTAAACCATTTCTGCCTTTGTAGGGCTCACTGTCTAGCCAGAGGAAAGCCATGGGGAACCCTTATCGTGACATGGTGTGATAAGAAGGGTGATGGAAGTGTGTACTGAGCACTGTGGAAAGGAAGACATTAATTTATAGGGTGGAGAACGTGGAGAGGAAATGGGGACAGCTTTGCAGAAGAGCAGACATTTGCACTTGGCCTTGAAGGATGACTGAATTCTGATACCCAAAAACTGACTTCTGGATAAAATGTGGTGGATTGACCTGTGCGTCCTCTGGAATCCCCATTCAAACAACCATATAGTGATTTAAAATTTGTTTTTAAATTATAAATGATAAATCGAGGGTAGAGATAAACGGGATCTATTCTGGAGGCCAAATAACATCTGAATGAATGAGAATTGACCAAACCGAGCAGGTACACCGGGAAGAGAAGGAGGCAGGGAGGGAGGAGGGGAGGAGGCTCCTGCTCTGGGCTGCAGCCCCCAGAACGGCTCAGTATCTGGAGCTACAGGAATCCCTGAAGATGCAGGTGCAGCTGGGATGGGAGGACAGGTGGAAGGTCTGCAGGAGAAGTGGTTAGGATTCCTCCCCATCCCATCCCATTAGGCAACTACTCCTCCTCTGCCCTAGCAAAAGGCCATATGGTTACTCCGTGAGGACATCCCGACTACCCGTGCTCTGGACTCAGGGGCGCCAGGCACAGTTAAGGCTGGAGGCTACAAGGCCTGGGTCAGTTAAGGCAGTTAAGGCTGCTGGATAGTGAGATGCCCTAGCACCTTCCCCAGTCCTGTTCAGGATGCTGGCAGCCACGCTCACATACCCCAAGCAGAATATTAGAGTTCTCTTCTGGGGAAACTGAGCAGCCCAAGAGAAAAGGCCTTCTGATACTAATAACCGTGTGTGTCCAGTGAAAACTACATCCCAACTTCCTTGCCATGAAGCCCCTTGTCCACAAGTCCTGCCATGCACACAGAAATTTCAACCACTTTATCTGAAATTTACTCTTTAAATATGAATGAGCAGATGAAGATCATGAGACTTAGGGGAAAGTTTCCAACATTAAAGACAGCTTCATAACAAACAAATGACAAAGACAAATAGAAAAAGGAATTTGGAGGAAATAAATACTTTGAGAAGCAGTAAAACCTGCCCCCTCCCCTCCTCCCCTGCCCCCAACAGATAACTTTGAAAAGACTAGAGAAGACACAGGCAGAGGTTCTTGCAGAGGATATTCCTTTTCAAATAAAAGGCAAAGTCTTACTAGGAAAGATATCTTTGTCCTTCCCTATTCTTTTTCTCCTGGAATGTGGACACAATACCTGGAGGTAAGAACCGCCATCTTGTGACGATGTGGATGGATGCCATAAGCAAGGATGGTGGAATAGAAAGGTGGAAAGAGCCTGGTTTCTGAAGACCCTGTTGAGACTCATGCCTGCCTTAAAATGTCTGTGTGGACTTCTTTTTATATGAAATAAACTCCTTGCTTGGTTAAGTCACTCTAGAAAGGTTTTCTATTACTTGCAAATGAACATAATCTTAACCCATTTAACAAATGTTGTTAAAAAATATAGAAAAGACACAGTTAAAAGAGTTGAAAGTAGGGACACCTGGATTAAGCATCTGTCTTCGGCTCAGGTCATGATTCCAGGGTCCTGGGATTGAGTCCTACATCAGGCTCCTTGCTCAGCGGGGAGTCTGCTTCTCCCTCTGCCTGCCGCTCCCCCTGCTTGTGCTCTCTTTCTCTCTCTGACAAATAAATACATTAAAAAAAAAAATAAGGAGGGTGCCTGGGTGGCTCAGTCATTAAGCATCTGCCTTCAGCTGAGGTCATGATCCCAGGGTCCTGGGATCAAGTCCCACATCGGACTCCCTGCTCCGCGGGAAGCCCCCTTCTCCCTCTCCCACTCCCCCTGCTTGTGTTCCTTCTCTTGCTGTCTCTCTCTCTGTTGAAAAATAAATAAAATCTTTAAAAAAAAAGGAAAAAAAAGAGTTGAAAGTAGTTAAGACTTGGGGGTTGGGAAAAATGAGGCAGGGAATGACTGTCTTTCTTTACTATAAGATTTATAGAACTATTTTTTTTAATTACATGTATAATTTTGAGAAAAATACCTATCAACTAAAAGTGGGAGAGAAAAATTGGTGGGGGGATGGGTCAAGCATTCTGGGCTAATGGCATGAACACAGGTGTGAGCAGGAGCCCACCGGAGGGGGGACATGGTGGGGGAGGAGCAAGAGATGAGAATAGGAGGAGGGAAGCTGGAGACAGATTGTGGGAAGCTGGATGTGCCAAGCTATAGAACTTGGACCAAAAAAAAAAAGTCTCCTAAATGTTGATGAGTTCAATCACAGCCCAGCGGCCTGGAAAAGCTAATGTATCTGAGTCATTTCTCTAGAAAGGAACTACCTGTCCTCTTGGGAGACGAGAGGTACAAACAATTCAATGTAATCACTCAATTCTAAGGGGATGACTGGTCCCAGTTTGATGATGTTCATGATTATTTCGGTCTGATCTTTTTCTCCTGGTTTAGAAAAGAGATAGATAGGAATTTGATGATAATTAAACATGAAGAAAAACACTGTGACATTTTACTGTTAAATTTGAGTGCCGAGGAGCAAATGCTATGGGTTCTGCATTATTAGTTGTGTGACATTGAGTTCCTTAACTTCTCTGTGATTCAGTTTCTTCATCTGTAAAGTGTTATTTTATTTTTTAAAAGATTTTATTTATTTACTTGAGAGAGAGAGACAGAGACAGAGACAGAGCATGAGCAACGGGGAGGAGGCAGAGGGAGAGGCAGACTCCGCGCGAGCAGGGAGACTGATGCCGGGCTGGATCCTAGGATCCTGAGATCATGACCTGAGCCAAAGACAGATGCTTAACCGACTGAGCCACCCAGGTGCCCCTGTAAAGTGTTATAATAATACCTACTTGTTAGAGTTTAGGGGATTTGATGAGTTAATGAATGTAAAGTCCTTAGTACAGTGCCTGGAATATAGTAAGTGCTATTTACAAGTTTGCTATCGTTACTGACATTACCAGGATGTCCGGTGGTACGAATACCTAAAAAAGGTCTATTGAGGATCCAAATGATATGGCAAATAACAACATTTTACTATGTAACAGAGGAACGAAAACTGTCTTACTTATCTTGACAAGTAGAAGAAAACATCTGAAAGCAATCAAAGGAGAGTTAATAAAGAACAATTGGGTGAATTAACTGTGAACAATAGTCCAATCAAATGTGCCATTATAAAAACTGGCTTTGGGCAAAAGGTTCCCAGAGGGAAAGGGAGGAAGGGTGAGTATGAAGGTCAGTGGGGAGTAGAAGAGGCTACATGGATAAATCGAGTCTGTTCTTATGGAACATGAGTCAACAGTATGATCTAAATACTGTAGAAGGCAAAACCACATTTGGGCACATAACAGACCTAGACTGAATAGTTCATTATTCCATTTCCTTTGGCTCTTGCTGGGCTCTATTCAGACTTTTTTTGGGTTACATTTCCAAAAATCACATGTTGCAGAATATGGAGGGGAGTGCAGGGATCCTGACCTGGAGTTTGGAAAGCAAGAAGGATAGAGAAAACACCCTGACTAGCTTGATGCTGACAGTTGAGTTGTGGCTCATGTTTGGAAGAGAGAGGCTTCGTTAGTCTGATTAGTCAAGGACAGCAGGATCAGAGATCGCAGTGTGACACTGCTAGGAAGGGGAGTAGACACTGAAACGCAGGAGTAATCTAACCACAAGACCCGATCGGTCAGTGGGACCAGCGGCCACCAGTGGCTAGGAATGATGCTGGGAACATGATGGGTTCAGACAGCTGCCTTTCAGGCCGACTTTGGCATAAACATGAGCTCAAAGTTGCGCTGAGAAAATACTGTGGTCAGCTAAGCCCAGTGAGAGCTGCCTGTCCTCAGGACTTCGGGTGCAGTCTCCACTGATCCCCACACCCAGGACTGCTAGAGGACCACAGAACCTTGTCGACGATTAACACCACACTCAGGAGCGGGTCATTCAGGCACCCTGTGGCCGCCTTATACTGACTGATGGTGATAATTCTATTTCCCATGATTTCTCGAGTGTGCAGTGGAAACCCCTTTTGCTTTTCATCTGTATCATTCTATTTCGTGAGGAAACCGTAGAAGGGTCCCTGATCTTCACAAACTGGGAGGAAACAGGAAAAGTTGGTGTAGGGCTGGAAACGAAATTGATGTGATCTGTGAAAGGGGCTTGTCACACTGGCCAGTGTCCATCCTGAAGTCAGATCAAATGTCACTTCTCAGAGGTGTCTTCCTGGACCTCTCTTACTGCAGTAGACTCTCCCGCTGGGGTCATACCATCAAATCCCACAATGATCTATTTGCTTACTTACTCATCAGCTGCTTCCCTTACTGCATATGAGATCTCTTGAGCTGGGTGATGGTCCTGTGTTTTTAAAAGTTGTGTCACCCAATACCTAGAAGTGTGCCTGGCATTTATTAACTGTTTTTTGTGTTTGTTTGTTTGTTTTTTCCCTTTGGATGAACAAGAGGCAACTCTCTAAGGTAAGATTGTTTTGAATAGCTAACCACTTGCATCCTTTTTATTAGGAAACATGTCTCTCTGAATCTCTGTGAAGTAAGGGTGCCTGTGGGAAAGGTCCAGGATAAACATATATAGGATTATTATTTAGGATTTTCTAGTTTTGGCAGGGTTCATCAAAATGTATGGAAAAGCCTAGATTTTTGCTTTGAGTGGCCAAAGATGTATCTAAAAGATCAAGAACATCTGATGGGATGAAAAGTTGATCAGAACAAAAGGGTAAAGTTAGAGACACAAATGTTCTCCCCTAGAACTCGCAGACTCATAGGGTGATCAGATGCCGGTTTGCCTGGGACCATCCTGGCTGACACCTGCTGTCCTGGCATAATTCTGATAATGCTCCTTTACAACCTCAGAAATTTATTGGTTTTGGTGATCAATTATATGGTCATGTGGTCTGTAAGATTCAGTCCACTCCCTTTCAGCACCCAGTCCTACTGGGGCCACAGTGTACATTGAGCTGAGGATGGAATAGTAAGAAGGGATAGGAAGTTGTAATTCTGGAGTTCATAGATTATGTAGGAGAATCTCAAATATTTCTTGACACTCTTATTTGATTCTCCTAAGGTTCTGCCAGTCAAATGGTCTTTGTGTTTTTAAGTTTTCATGACTTCAGGATATTCGGAGCCCATAGCTCTGGGGGCGATGGGTCTTGCTACATGATCTTTTTATTTATTTATTTATTTATTTATTTTATTTTTTATTTGACAGAGAGAGAGAGTACAAGCAGTGGGAATGGCAAGCAGAGGCAGAGGGAGAGGGAGAAGCAGGCCCCCCCACTCAGCAGGGACCCCGATGCAAGGCTCGATCCCAGGACCCTGAGACCATGACTGAGCCAAAGGCAGAAGCTTAACCGACTGAGCCACCCAGGTGCCCCTTGCTACATGATCTTAAGACAGCATGGCTGGGTCGCAATATCTTCCCAGGAGAAAAACTTGGTCAGTTTTATTCATAGCTCTGGTCTCTCTAGGGCTCAGCAAAGTCTGCTCTTGGGAAGACCTCTGGGGAACAGAGAGACAGGTACTAATAATTATGCCTCCCTTTAACCTAAAAGACTTTTTCTTGGTCCAAGCTTCTAAGCATCCATTTCTTTCTTCTTGAAGGGGGCTTTTGATCCTTAAAGCAAAGAGACACTGGAAAGAGGGCTCAGGCCATACCCAGATATGTCAGAACACTTGGGTCTATAGACAGGGGTCTCATAAAGTCTGCTAACACAGGCAACTTTCTGACATATTTGACCACTTTTAAGTGGTCGATAATGATGCATGCATTTGAAGGTTGGGGAAGGTCACTGAGTGGTTCCAGCAGAAGAATGTGTCATCCCATTACACCCAAGTGGTTGGATGATAAATTTCCCAAACCAGAGTGGATGATGTGGCCAACAGGAGAGGGCCACATGCTTGCTAGATCTGAATTACAGTTTTAGTCAATGAAAATCAGAGACACAGATCACCTGCGGCAAGGCATCACTGATGCAGGCATGGGGGGCAGAAGGAACTGCTGCCCTAATGCACTGTGTCCATTGCAATGTACCTGTGCATCACTTTAAGAGAAGCGACACTGACTATAACATGTGATGCCATTTCACATGTGGTGTCTTGTAACATCAATGAATTATTCTCTGTTGATTTGCCTGTGTATCCAGACTGTCCATAGTTTTTATCACCACCATTTAAAATGTTTTCATCATAGTCTATTGGCATGCCATAACGTAAACATTCTTCAACTTTTGTGTGTGTAGGTTGTTTCTTTTTTTCTATCGTAAAATTCTGTAAACGCTGGAAGTAAGCACACACATTTCCCCATATTTTAGATTAGTTAATTAAGATGAGTGTTCACCAGGGGGAGAAAGATTAAGGACCGTTTGAAGAGTGGCAGGAGGAAGAGGGTCCAAGGAGCAGTGACTTGGCGAAGGCATTTCCTTGTCCGCACCACACTCCTCCTGGCGCTCTGTCGTCTGTCTACAGGATGTCCCCAATGTGTAACAGAAAACTCCTCACAGCAGGCTAGTGAAGGATTTGACAATCTGATGACCAATGACTCTGTGGACCTTGAATGGAAATACTGTACCCCTAATCTGTTTAGGGGAGGAAGTGAAGTGAGGAAAAACCTCCCATCTACACACAACGGTGCTTTTTGTGCAACAATGTGAGAAATACATGCATTTCTATGTTACACGTCTTGTTCCAACCTATATGTGGGTTGTTTTCTTTCCTTTGCATTCTCTCAAAGCAGGTTAATGGTCCGCGGGAGAGATGATTTCCCTGGCCAAAGAGGTAGAAGACATTTGTGCAAGAGGCAAAGAACGTGTCACTGTGGGTCCTTCGGATGCCTTCCCTTGTTTTATTGAATGACCTTAAAGAAGAGTTTACTGTCTTTCTTTTCTCTATTAGGAATTAAAATAGGAGACTTTAGATGAGGTCTTGTTTTAAAAAAGGTATTTTCTTTGAGAAAAAAAGGGCCTCTCCTTTGCATGTTTGAGTTTGACATGATGAAGTTTAGGAAAAACTTATTTGACAGTTGGTTATGTTTCTTCTGGGTGATTTATTTAGAGATATGTGTACGTCTAAACTGCTTAAAGGTGTTTATGACAGATTTCTCACTTTCATAGGGGATATGTAACATTGCAGAATGATGGGATTTTGTAGCCTCCAGCTGGTGGAATTGTACATATTTGTAGAAGTGTTGGAAGATGCTGAGAATGATTTTGCAGAGTTTTAAAGTAGAGTGTCCAGCCACGTGAAGTAAGGGAAGAATGAACATCAAGTAAGCGCCTACTTTGTGCCAGGCACAGAGCTGTGCTTATACAACTGTCAGCCCACTTAATTCTCATGACAACCTAGGAGGTAGGTACTGTTATTTCCCCATTTTACTCAGCATCAGTAGAAGAATTTGGACAAAGAAGCTTGATTTCCTAGTTAGATGCTTGATCCACTGTATTGTCCTTGGGGCCAGCGAAGCTGTTCCCCACTTCCAGAAGTTGAGTGCTTTGTTGAGGCTTCTCTAGGGTCAGAAGTGGCTGCTCAGCACCACTCTCACAGCGGGACATTCTAAGAACAGAAGAAGTCATTGCCAAGGAGAATGGTTATTTGTCCTGGCTTTAGCAATTTGCCAAGTCCAATAAAAAATAAGTCCCAAAGCAGTCATATGTTTCAAATCTGAATGTTAACAGCTGTGCTCTTATTTCTTTGCTGACTATAATTCTACAATGCTAAGCTTTTCCTCTGTGTTTAGAAAAAGCTCTACCTTTACCTTAATGTCTGGCCATACCACCCAACTGTATATTCCAAATTTGCACCCAATTTCCCATTTCTTTCTATATATTTCTTTCTTTTCCTTTTTTTAATTTTAATTTAATTAGCCAACATACAGTACATCATTAGTTTGGGATGTAATGTTCAACGATTCATTAGTTGCATATAACACCCAGTTCTCATTACATTATATTTCTTTCTTCTTAAGGAGTGATCTCTATAGGGCTAAAATTTTAAAACAGCAAATCGCTAAACTCTTAATCTTCCTCTAACTTCTAAATTTATGCTTTTGGAACACACACACACATATATTTTAGTAATGTTTTAGGAAGTCTTTCTACCCCTGTCCAGAAAGAAACTTCAAGAACCAATTTTTTCTTTATTTCCTTCCTTCTTCCTTCCTTCCTTTCTCTTATTCCTCTCTCCCCTTTTTTCTCTTCTTTCTTTCTTTCTTTCATTACTTCAAGGGAAAATGATCCCTTAACGTGTATGTGAGAACACTGAATGATGGCTGGATGTTTCGTGTTCCTTTCTGGTCTCTGAATTCTGAGTCACTGAGTTTGTATTTTTAAGTCACACCTGTGGGCGAAGTTGTCTTTAAACTAGTGTCCATGATTTAAAATGCCAACCAACCAAAAAACCCACTCCCTAAAAAAAATGAACAAACCAACCAAAAACCCCTCAAATTGAACCAAAAACCTCTCCAAAAAAATCAGGTCCTCATTTGGGATCAAAGCCAGACTATTTTTTCCCCCAAATTCCTCTCGCTCTGCAGAGAAGGTACATCTCTGAACATGCCAAATGGAAATTTGGATATGACCAACACTTTTAAAATTCTAAAGTCCTTTAAATATTCATTGTTTTCCAGTTCTTTATGATCATAAAATTCTTCTCATTAGAAAGCTCACCTTGGAAAGAGCGAGGGGAGGAGCGAGTTTGGGAGGCTGCTGTTTTCCTGCCTCCCGCTTGCTCAGAAATCGGCCAGTCATTGGCGAGACATCCGGCTGTGGGTGCTGGAGGGTCCTAGTTCGAATCTGTAAGGACTGAGATGTGTCCCTCCAAATCTATCACCAGGGCTGGACGGACCCCACTGAAGCCTCTCTGGTGGGGGTGAGGGTGGGAATTCTTGGAGGCAAAGATGCCAGAATTTTCTATAGGATGAGCCTGTAGAACTTGTTTATAGGTTGGCTATCAAGCTAGAAAGGCATAGGGCTGGGGACGTGACTGACAGCTGCATTTGCTCAGTACTTTATACAAGACAGAGATGATCTTTCCTTTATTCATTGAAGAATGTGTAAGAGGGCTGCTGGTGACGACAGTGGGGTGGGGTAGGGGAAGGAAGGCCACTCCTTTCAGCCCCTTCATGGAACCTCTACTGATGAGGAGCCTCCTGGGATAGAACTATGACCATGTTGGAGGTTGGGCATGTTGGCAAACTGACGATGAGAGAAACTGGGGCAAGTGCATCTGCCTGAGTCTGCAGAAGGGGCAGGCAAGCCTAGAAACTTTTTCCATCACGGGAGGGGAGAAGCATTTCCAGGTTTCACCATGCATCCTGTGATTTGTCTCCTTGATTAAATGTCTGGGTTCTAGAAGCTGCTTTACTAATGATCTCTTAAGGAATGGAGAACCATGGAATCTCTCAAGTAATCTTGCCCACATGAACTCCAGTGGGTGATGAGGCATCCTGCTTCATTTTGCCTCAGAACAATTTGGGCACCATGAGAGCCCAAATGTAGCTGGGGCAGGGCGCTTCAGCAAGTAAAGGAGGATGGGCATCACTTTGTATACTGGTGTGATTCTGTTTTTTTGCTTTTTTTTTTTTTTTTTTTAAGTCCTACTGTGGTAGTCAGTGGCACAAGGGGTGGACATCTAGTGGTACCCCTCTTCACTGAGTTTCAGTAGCATCTGTGCCGGTAGATTCTCAGTGAGTCTCATAGGCACCCTAGATGTTGGCTTCTCAGCCTTGAGCCTCCTACACCCTGGTGGGGTGTTTCTGCTGGCCAGTCCCAGCCCACATCACTCTGCCTTCCAACCTTTGCCCAGCCACTGTGGACCAGCTCTGGCTCAGGTCAGCCCAGAGAATTTCCCCACCCCCCAGTAGGCATCAACCACACCTTTTCAGTGAGATCTGAATCCCAGCCTTGGAAGCTGGGAGTGTTCTCCTTTCCAAGTTTGTTCTTTCATTAGGCGTTCTCCTTCATCTCTTGGGTATTCTTTAGAGTTCTCTTTATCCCTTTATAGTCAACCCCCGCTTATGGTTAATAATTCTTTTTTTTTTAGATTTTTTTTTATTTTTTAAATTTTATTTTTATTATGTTATGTTAGTCACCATACAGTACATCATTAGTTTTTGATGTAGTGTTCTATGATTCATTGTTTTCGTATAATATATTAAGGTCTCCTTGTTAAAATTGTTGTGTGGTTTCTGTCTCCTAACTAGACCCTGATTGATACAAGATGATAGTAGGATAATTGCTAGAAATACTGAGTTTGTTCCCTTATATATTTTACTTCCTTCTTATTTGAAGCCTAGAGTTGAGGAGGAGAAGGAATCTCCGTCATGGTCCTGACAGGTGCCAGCCCTCGGAAGCTGTGAGTTGCATCCAGTGGAACTGGGTCCCACTCACCCAGGCTCACTGAAGATTTCTATACTTGCCAAAATGGGCAGAATGGATGAGAATTGATAGTGTAACACTAGCTTCACATGTGGGTGAGTGGAACCTGGAGAAAACCAGCTTGAATTTCCTGCTTGTCCAGAGGGATGGAAACTCAGTATCGGAATGAAGTTGAAAGAAAATACAGACAAGACTCCCTCAGTGAATCTGCTATATGATAGTTATATTTTTTATGTCAAATCATTGACAAATATATAAATATAAAAGGTGACCTGAATTTAATAATGCTTCCATAAACTTGTATTTTATTATTTATAAAGTGTTTAGAAACACTTGAAAAAGTGGTGCATATATCAATCTATTTATTTATTATTTAGTCTCTATAGACGAGAGGGTTTCCTGCCTGAAGGTAATAACTCCATAACCCCACTGGGATCCGAGGCTCACAGGCTTGGATCTAGTGTTAAATTATAAGAATGGAAATAATACTGATAGCCAAGTGCTCATTAACGTATAACACTGAAATCATATCATCTTTTAAAAAGTCTTAGCAAAAGATGCAGAAATCTGGCTTTCATTTGCCAAGTCTCCATCTCTACTGTGTAATTTTCTTTGTCCATACTTTGAAAGGGGAAGCAATCATTGCTTGTCTGTTTGCACTTCCTGCAAGAAGATGCTACTCTGGATGAAATGCACTGGCCTTCGCCGGGCAGCTTGAGGATCCCACTGAGGGAGCAGTCGGCTGCTGGCCACTGGCTGGGTGATGCACAGAGAACAACAAGCCCCAGAGCTTGTCCCTGTCCCCAGCTGTCCACATCCTCATTCTCATCCTTATTTCCCCGATTTTTCTTCTGGAACTAGGAGAAGCCCCTGATGTGCCTTTCTCTTTCTCTACCTTTCATATTTTAAAAAGTAGGATACTAATATTTATGAAGACATGAACTAATATTTAACCTTTCCTGACACCCAGTAAACATGCTTACTTGGCTCCATGGCACAGGTCTACACTACATTAATCCAGAGAATACCAATAGGAAAAAGGAAATGATGAAAGCAAATGCACCACTAGCTACAGAAACACTTCATTTAACAAAATCAGGAAAGAGAATATATTTCCCTAAGTTTGATGTGATAAAATAAAGTGATAATACTTCGGTTTCTTTAATTTCATGTCCTCTGCTCTGTTTTCCCTTTGACCACTAACAACACTCAGCTGTGTCCCTTTGTGACCCAATGACTGTGTGCCTGAGAGCCTGGGGCCGATGAGAAGGGGACCTGCTTGCTCTCTACCAATTTTCAGCTTCTTTTTACCGCCAGCCCCTGAGACTCAGCCCTTCCTGTTGTGAGTCTAGTGTTTGGCTAAACTGGAGAAGGAACTTAATGATGGTATTGGAAAGACTTTCTTGACAAAATTCATTTTCTGGATATGGGAAATAAGGATTCTGGACTTCATAAATGTGACTTATGGGGCAATTAGACATCTTGGCAGCTCTTTTGGGTCTAGCATGGATGTCTGGAAATTATATGTCAACTCCCACCCTCATGCTAGAGTCTAAAGTTTTCTGGCCTCCCCAAGAAGGGACATGGTGATTAAATAAATGATCACTAAGTGAAAGACAAGAAGAAAGAAAATAAGTCATTTCATAAAATGGGAGAATAAAGGAAAAAATGAAATTTTTACATTTTGGTACTTTTTTTCCCTTGGATTTTCCCCAATCTTAGTTTCCTTAGTGCCAAAGTTTTGATAGTTCTATGTAATGACTTAAGAAAGTCACACTACATGACTATGCAGACATCTACCTTGCAGTCCCAGTAGTGGGTATTGGGATATTTGTGTCCACTCCTGGATGGAGAAATTGATCATTGAGGGTGAATTTAACAGGCATCAAGGATGTAATCTTTTCTCACTCATCTTTTATGATAATGAACAACCTAAACATAAGTTGAAATTGGTGATTGGTGGAGGGTTGGGGAAGGAGCTTTCCTTTGCCCCCGACCTTTGCTTCCTGCCACTGTCACCCTGGCAGTGGTCACCCTCTGGGTCTCAGTTTCTCCTGAGCTCTTATGTATTAGCTCCACCTCTCAATCCACTTCACATGCAGGTTATTGCTTTGTCTTGGTGTATGGGGAATGTCTGTTAAAGTTGATCTGAAAATATTTGTAGAATTAAGTGGGGTTGGGTCGGATTGCAGATGTTCAAAAGAAACCTATGTTTGGCAAAAAAGGAAAACAAAGTGAGAAATATTGCTCTTCTTTCCGAAGAAAAACCACATAGAGTTTTTGGAGTTGTGGAATAGTTTTAGGAATTGGCTCCAAACACAAGTTCCTGCCTGTGTTCCTGAGCAACCCAGGGTATTCTTCCAACTGAGCCAACACCTGTCCAGTAACCCCTTGGGCTTTGGTTTCACCACCTGTGAGAAATAGTTGTGAAGCTCAGGGCTCATATGAACAAATGCCGAAGCAGGTCAAGTGTGTGCCTGCCCAGCTCCCACGTTTGTTTTTCTTCTAGCTTCCACACTTCCCACAGGAACTCAGGGCTTTTGGCAAGTGTATAATCAAGACATTGCAAGACAGTCCTGATTTTGAAGATTCAGTGTAAATGTTCCCCAAAGCTTAGTTGAATTTGTTTGATAGTGAATTCTAGTTTTAGTCTTGGGAAACATGGATATAGGCTTACAGTGGAGACCCACTGCCCTGAAATGTCCCATTCCCTGAGGACCTGAGCTCAGCTTTTTGCTGAGCCACCTTATCTATGGTGCTAGCGGTTGAGAACGACTTACTGGGTCAGCTTATAGGAGGATTTATAGTTAAAACAGGTAAGCCAATTTCTCAACTCAGGGGTAACCAAGTGTTTCTGTGTTTTTAATTGTGGGCTACAGACATGACCAGAAATCCAAATGTGTGTGAACATTGTTAACATTTTCTTTTTTAGAATGATAATTTGAGGGGGTTTGAGAATTAGACATGACTTGAACATGAGTAGAATGTGTGGAGTCTGGTCACATCCTTTTTCTGATGTCAGTAATCCTTCTTAAGCTTCATGGTTGAGGTTTAGTGATTAAAACATGAAAAGCTCAAAATTATACCATTAAACAAAGATTCACTGCAAACTTGCCAGTGTGAGCCTCGTAGCAGTCACTCAACCAAAGCAGTCTATGTGTCTGTCTGGATTCCTGTTAGTAAGTTCAGGAAGCAAATAGCTCTGGATAGTGAGGGATAGTTATATTAGAGCATGTGTGCAACTTACTAAAAGCAAACCAAACCCTGTGTATTTTTTCTTTTTTGGGGGGGGGGGGCAAGGTGGTATTTAGGTTGCCTGGTTGTTATCTGTCCCCAAGCAGTGGTTTTTAAACTTTTTACCCATCAGATTTTTCTTTAAGTGAAACATTACTCTAAAAAAAGCTAATACTAAGACAGATGAAACAGAAGTGCCCTAGTTGAAAGCTGGGTTGGCAGCTGAGCCTTCACTCTTGGTTTTTCCTCTTGAAGTAGCGCATGAGCACTTCTGCAGAACTGCCAGCCTCTTAAGGAATGTTTGGGAGTCCATTCATTGAAAGGAATGACTCTTTGGAATCTACCTGGTCCATGTGAATTTGACTCCTACTGGACTAATCAAGTATCCCTGAAGCCTAGTGGACCCCCAGAATCCTCCTGCCTATAATACGGTCAAAGAAATATGACCTTTGGCCAGAAAATAATACTGTGCCAATTTTGACTCATGAAAGACTCACTCAACCTAGGTGGATATTCAGAGCAAACCATTTTCCAAGCCAACACATGGAGAAAAACAAAGTTTTACCCTAATTGGCATTTCTGTTTTGAATGGAGAATGGAACTTGGAAGACAGTGGGGAGGTAGGCTGGTGGCTCTGAGATGCAGTGTTCAGGACGAATGAAATGTTGGAATCTTGTGTCCTGATTTACTCACTGGTGTATGAGCTTGAGGGGTGGATAATACATATTTTCCTCTTTTCGTAAAAGGTCCGGGTTGGGCCAGATGACAGTTGGAAGCTGACCTCAGAAGGCCCTGTTTGGAAGGCTCGTGTGTATCACATGAGGAAAGCTGTGGGGATGTCACCCGGCCAGCTCTTCACTATGCCAAGCTGGGTCTCCATAGCTTCAAAGTCATTCCAGTATAATTGAAAACATGTGCTGAAATATGCATTTTCTTAAGGTTCAAAATTTCCTTGTGATGTACTTTCCATACCATTTTGAATTAAATGCAGAGGATGACAATGCTGTGGCCAAAAACTTGTATGTCAGTATATAAGTGTTTTAAAACAAATCTTTTAAGAGTAAAAATCCTGATGAATATACAGAAGACTGAATCACAGTTCTGAGAAAGGAGACAGGTGAGGAGCCTAAAGGAAAAGGCTTAGAGTAGTAGTTCTCAATGCAACATCATTATAATTCATAATTTCGTACAAATGTTTTATGCTCTTGCTTTCTTTTTTTTTAAATTAAATTTAATTTTTAAAAAAATTTTATTATGTTATGTTAGTCACCATACAATGCATCATTAGTTTTTGATGTAGTGATGATTAGTTTTGATGTAGTTTTGATGTAGTGATGTAGTGATTCATTGTTTTCGTATAACACCCAGTTAGGCTCTTGCTTTCTTGAAAATGATTCTTCTATCTGGACATTATGTTTGTGACTTCCTCAAAGAGGAAACAAGGCATCTGCCCGTATTTATCCTGCACAAGTTCCCATCTGTGACAATATCAAATGCCTATATGGACCAAACAGTAAATTATGGGAGTGAAGCCAGAAGGTGGAGGCTTGGCCACCTGGACACAGGGCTCATTTGAAGGGAGCTGCCATCGAGAAAGGCCAATGTAGTATAGCCACGACTTCTGATTTTTCAAGATAGGCTGGGAATTAATATTTCTAATGTAAAAATCTCCTGGTTTTTAAAGTTTTGGAAATTAAAGATGTAAATATAGTGTGTGGTCCAATAAATATCTCTGAAGGCCAGGCCAGGCCCTGGGCAATGTCTGGTCTGCAGAGTGTGAGGCTGGTCTCTGAAAAGTTAGCAGGCAGCAGAGCCTTATAGAAAGGTGGGACAAGCATTTCTGTTGAGGTAGAGTGGGGTG